AACCTCTAGCAATGGATACAAAACCCATATAAAGTTATGCAAACAAAAACACCAAAGAACGAAATCTAGAAAGTGCAAAAAGCCTGCAATTGTAGAACCTGACCTCTTCGAATGCGACTTCTGTACCTCCACTTTCACATCACGAGAAGATTTCCAAGCTCATAAGAAAACACACAGGAAAGATGACACGTTTAAATGTAAAGTTTGTCTGAAGGAATTCAGACAATCGAAGACTTTAACAAGACATCTGCGCACTCATTCTGGTGAAAAGCCTTTTGTGTGCACAGTTTGCAACAAAGCCTTCAACCAATCCTGCAATTTAGTATCGCACATGCGTACACACTTTGATGACAAGAGACACAAGTGCCCCATATGCAGCAGGGAATTGAAATATTTAAGTTCTTTAAATTATCACATGAAAATAATACATAAAGTAAGCGAAGAGATCAAGCCTGATGATGCAGCAAGTATATTAACAAACTACTTAGACAGTTTAGACAGCGATAACATATACAATTGTAAAGACTGCACAAAAACATTCTCAAGTTTAACAGATTTAATAAAACACGAAAAGACTCACACAGAAGACAACTGGTTTGTATGCGAGTTGTGTAATAAAACTTTCAAAACAATAACAGGGCTCTCTTACCACATGAGAAACCATTCTGATGACACTCCTTACAAATGTAATGTTTGTGGCAAGTCGTTTAAGCATTCCAGAACTTTATCGTGTCACTCCAAAACCCATTCAGGTGAAAAAAAATACAAGTGTACAGTTTGCACAAAGGCTTTTGCAGATTCTAGTAATCTGGTGCGACATATGAGGACACATTCGGATAAAAAAGAATATAAATGTAAAATTTGTAATAAAAAGTTACAGTATGAGAATTCATTGACGTATCACATGAAAACTCATGAGGATGTTATTGTAAAATAAATTAAAAATTAATATTTAAATTATAATAGATTAATATATATATATACGAAACGAAAATAGTTATATACCAAATTAAAAACTATTTATGTGTTATATAATATATAATATTCATAATAGTATATATGTTCACACAATAAATACACTTGTCACTAGGTGTGAGTGGCATTTTGTGTTAAAGCAAGTCAGATAAAGTTCCCTTGAATGTGTAAATAATTCAATATATTAATTTGCGATTATTTGAAATAAAAAGTTTAATCTAGAATTTCATTTAGATATTCGTATTCTATTCAAAAAGACCTTTTAAACGATACCCCACATGCCACAAAAACATAATTTGAAATTTTTGAAGTAAAACTTCATTAGACATGAATTTTAAGTTACTGAGTTTAAGGAGTGTATATTTTAAGGCAAATTGCGCATATATATATATATATATAAACTGAAAAATTTCGGGACTAAGTAAAGTAAAGGCAGTACTCTGAGGCGCGAGGTAAAATGATTACAAAGATTTGATATGCACTCTTGTGGAGCTACTGATTACAGTTTATGCCCATACTTAAATAAAATACATTTTATAAAACACGACTTGTATATATATATATATATATATATATATATATATATATAAAGCGAGAGGTTTTTCTTCAGATGGTGAAATAATATGATGAAATTGTTTCTTGGGCATCCATCCAGTAATTAAAAAAAAAAAAAAAACAGTTTTATTGAAAAATGTTTTTATTTAGAGAAACATACGTTTCGGGTCTTGATTTGACCCATCTTCAGTGCTACAAATAATTATTTATGAAATAAAAAATTGATAAGACGTCAAGTTATGAATTTTTTTTATAAAAAAAATAGTAAAATTAAAATAAATAATATGTTTTATTATATAAAAGGTTTTTCCAAACGAACATGTTGTCAGTTTGGAGACCGTGTTACGTGTGTGTAACGAGAGTAAAATGTGTGCGTTTTTTCCACTATTTTCCGCTAACACGTACGCACACATTTTACTCTCGTTACACACACGTAACACGGTCTCCAAACTGACAACATGTTCGTTTGGAAAAACCTTTTTTATAATAAAACATATTATTTATTTTAATTTTACTATTTTTTTTAAAAAAAAAATCATAACTTGACGTCTTATCAATTTTTTATTTCATAATTAATTATTTTTTAGTGCATTTTTGTGTGTTTTTTTGTGTTATTTTTTGTGTGTTATTTTTTAAAACTTATTTGTATGGTGAGTTTCTTTACATTTGTTTTTATTTTATGGTTGTTTTTCATATATACTTTTCATATACATTGTTCTACTTATTTTTGTCTGTATTATGTATTTTTTATATTGTTTTAATTTGTATCCCTGAAATAATTATTTGTAGCACTGAAGATGAGTCAAATCAAGACCCGAAACGTACGTTTCTCTAAATAAAAACATTTTTTAATAAAACTGTTTTTTTTTTAATTACTGGATGGCCCAAGAAACAATTTTATCATATATATATATATATATATATATATATATATATTAATTATTCATGAGTGAATTATAAGTATACTGAGTTGCTATTATAGTGTTAGAAGTAACTATTAGAGATTATTTTAAAAAAGGAGCGAAATTCAAAATTTTGTTTCAGTATTCGTATTCTATTCGAAAAGACCTTTTAAACGATACCCCATATCCTACAAAAAAACAATCTGAAATTTTTGAAGTAAAACTTCATTAAATTTGAATTTTAAATTACTAAGTATAAGGGGTATATTATTTAAGGCAAATTGCGTAAACTTTACAGTACTTGTTCAAACTTTACTATTTGATATTTAGCAGTCATTTTTATTTTCATGATCTGCCAAATACAAATCCTAGACCTAGACTTTATGTTTATTTATGCCCTAGCTAGACAATATGTACTGATATGATTATTGGTCTCTACCTTGTAAAGGATATGAGACTCCAAAAATTGGGTATTTAAGAATACCCTCGTCTGTCATCTAGTATATATACGCATATAATTATAAACTGAAAAATTCCGGCATTAAGTACATTAAAGGCAGTACACTGCGGCGCGAGTTAAAATGAATACAAAGTTATATGCACGTTCTGTGGTGTTTCGTTGGGAGCTACTGATTGTAGTTTACGTCCAGACTTAAATCAAATACATTTTTAGAACATCGGTTGCGTAAACTTTCCAGTATGTGGAAATAACAGGCTTAATCAAAACAATATTATAATTATTCATGAGTGAATTATAAGTATACTGAGTTGCTGTTATAGTGTTAGGAGTAACTATTGGAGATTATTTATAAAAAGTATTGTTTCAGTATTCATGTTCTATATACAAAAACATTTTGAGCGATACCCCACATGCCATAAAAGCACAATATAAAATTTTTGAAGTAAAACTTCATTTGAATTTACTAACAGTGGGTATTTTTTTTAAAAAAAGTTGCATGAACCTTTAAGTATGTGAAAATAACCGGCTTAATCAATAAGAAAACAATATATATATATATATATATATATATATATAATTATGAGTGATTTATAAGTATACCAAGTTGCTATTGGAGGTTATTTAAAAAAAGGGGTGAACTTCAAAATTTTATTTCAGCATCCGTATTCTACTTGAAAAGACCTTTTAAACGATACCCACTTACATCTAGTTTAATGATAAATAAAAATCTTAATATTGTTCAATTTTGAACCATTCAAATCTGTTGATCCTTGCTCCCGAAATTGTGGTCAAAAATAGTATTCGAACATACATACACACACAAACATTTATTTTTTATAAGGTATGCCAAAATATTCAAAAATCTGCAAAACGTAAATATATCCAAACATTTTCATTTTTGTAATGGGCCAAAAATCGAAATTGAAAATTTTTACATTTCTCGACGTTTTGAAGGTTTCTGAACATTTTGGCATACCTCAGAGAAAATGGATGTGTGTGTGTGTGAATGTATATGCATGGATACAAATTTCAAGTCACGTTTTCGGGCGCACGGATCAACCGATTTGAATGGTTCAAAAAACATTCGATTCCTATTGATAGGGAGATGTGCTGATCAGTGTTTGGCGTAGGTAGGTCCAGCAGTTACGCAGATAAAGAGCAAAGAGTGCAGAAAATAGAAATCGAATTTTTGAGAGAACGGAGCATCCCATTTGAATGATCTAAAAAACATTCAATTAGTAATGATTGGGAGAAGTGTTTATTAGTTTTTAGCAAAGGCAGGCCCATCCATTTCGAAGATACGGAGCTAAATGTGTGAAAAATGGCAGTTTTTGAGAGAACCAAGCGTCCGATTTACATGATTCAAAGAACTTTCTGCTTTTTTTAACAAAATAATTGATTTTAGAAAAAAAAATTTGTTTCAACTTTTTTTTTCAAAAAAAATTTTTTTGTATGTCGAAAATAATTCAGATTTTATTTTTAATTCTGACTATAGTTCTAATATACTTTAAAAAAATAATTTCAACTTTGCAATTAAGTTTATATAATTCTTATAAATATTAGACAATGTTACAATATTTATTTATAATAATCTATTATACATTCAAAATTCCTCGAACATTTCGTTACGGTACGGGAAGTTCTAGCAATTTGCCTTAAGGCACGATGCCATGCGCCCCACTAGTTAATTTTTATATCACTTATCCTGCCTGAAGTTAAAAATTTATTAAAGTTTGGAACCACTGGTATTGACCTTAGGACATACACCGTGTATGTCCTAATCCAAATACTTATTAATTAAGTCGATTATTTACACATGTTTATGTAACTTGCCTCAAGGCAAAATGTCACTTACACCTAATTTAATAATAAATAAAAATAATTACATTGTTTAATTTAATTATTTATATTTATTTGTAAATAAAAAATGTCTGCCTACGCCATGTCCGCCATCTTGAATTTGCTGTCAAATAAATGTTTTGAAATAAATTTCATTTCGATGGAGAAATGTGTTATTTTCTTTGTTTTATTAAGTTAATAAAACATAATAATAATAAATATGTATGTGCCTAATTAAATATTGCAATATTTAACACCTGTGAGTAAATATGAATGAAAATATTGGCGAATACATTCTTCCCGATGTAAAGTTGGAAAACGTTTACGTCAAGGAAGAAATAGTTTATGAAATTGAAGAAAATGATTTAGATCCTTCCGCACTTTACCCAGAAATTGATATAGAAGAAGAAATTAAACAAGAACCTCCTTCAAGTAGTGCCTATCAAGCCTATCAAGAATTCAAGTGCTTAAGATGTTCCTTCACAACAAATTTTTTCCACGAAATCGAGCACCATACAAGATCCTGTCCTCCGGAGCCTTCAAAGCCATGCAAAAACCTCCCCCAAACAACTCCAGACACCAACCAACCAGTCATTTACTACCCCCACAATTCATTTTTCAAATGCACGATGTGCTCCCAAAAATTCAAGCACGAGAAATTTGCCATAGCCCACGCCCGAGTCCACATAGATGCAAAATCCCCCGTAAGGCAATCTTACAGATGCACCGTCTGCAACGAGAGATTCAGGTTTGAAGGAGCTGCCAAAAACCACATGCTAGCACACCTCGGTGTGTTCGCCCATAACTGCACATTTTGCAATGAAGGCTTTGCCACTACTCGGGAACTTGTTACCCATTCTAGGAAGCATACAGGGGAGAAGCCTTTTGCGTGCTCGAAGTGTGATCAGGCCTTTGCTGACAGGGATGAGTTGAGGGCTCATAGTTTTAGTCATAAACAGAAGTACCTGTATAAGTGTGATGTTTGCGGGAGGGAGTTTAAGACTGTGACGTGGTTTATGCAGCATAAAAAGACTCATAAAGAGAAGATGTTTAAATGTGGGATTTGTAACGAGGCTTTCGATAGTAATGCTGATTTGTTGGAGCACGTTCAGATACATGGGGAGGTAGATTTATAAATAAATATATATATATATATATATATATATATATATATATGGTGAAAATTATAATGCTAAAAGTACATTTGTGGGTTATGTTAACCCATGCATGTTTTCTGTAAATATTGCAAACTATTGTAGTGAAGTTTTGTGAAGAAAAGGAGCTTCTAGGACTCTTGTAGATATAACACTTGGGTAATTACAGTTAATTTTATACATTAACTTACTAAAACAAAACTTTAAATTGCTATTACTACTATTTATCAGTGAAATATATTAAAAATTGTAAATAAATTGGAGTTTTATTGTAAATAAATAAATAAATAAATAAATAAATAAGTATATATATATATGTATATATATATATATATATATATATATATATCTTATATATAAAATTCTTCTGTAATTATGTATGTAAATATACTCCTCCTGAACGATTATTCAGACTTGAATAAATCTTTCTGAAGTTTATTAAGGGATTTTTTCAGGATGTATGTGAAATATAGTAATATAGTAGAAATAGATGGAAAAAATAGCAAAAAACGACATGCCATTGTTTGAGATTGAAATATTTGAGACATTGTTTGGCATTGAAAACAAATGAAAATCGTCATGTGCCAAAAATTTCAATTTACTTATGAGCCTAGACAATATTAGAATATGTATAGAACAAAATCATGATTATGAATAAGAAAAATGAAATGTCTACATAATTATTGCCAAAAAGTAGCTGAGATGTTCTTAAAACCGGTTTTCGAACACCAAGAAATCCTAGGACATACACACCATGAGGTAAGTCATAGTAATTGCAAAAAATGTGTGTGTGTGTGTGCGGATACAAATTTTTGTCGACGATTTCGGGAACATGGATCAACCGATTTGAATAATTCAACTAGCTGTAAGTGGAATCCTGTCTTAGGGCAATTAAAGCATCGTGCCTTAAGGCAAATTGCTGGAACTTCCCGTACCAAAAATTATTATTTTTTTAAAAACGATTAACATTTTTGAAAAAAAATTACTTCGAAAAAATAAGATTTTTGACAAACAATTAAACAAAAAATTGAAAAAAAAATGTTTTCTTTATTTTGACATATTTTGAAAGATCTAAACTTTTTTTCAAAGCAATCGTACTGCTTTAACTGCATTAAGACGAAATGTCAAACCGCGTAAGCGCCGCGTCGACGTCTAACGCGTAAACATTGGTACGGAACCCATAGGAATGTAAACCAAAATTATACTTATTGTTAAAATCTCTATAAAATATCTGATAATTTGATGTGCATATGTCTAATGATCATTTTTGACCGCCAAATGGCATTTTTTTTTTACTTTTTTCATTAGATCTCCGAAACCGCTAGACCTGCCTTTATGAAAATTTGATCGGTTCTTCACCTTGTCAATACAAGTAAAATGTTTTTTGAATTATTAAAATCGGACGCTCCGTTCTCTTAAAAACTGAGTTACCGTTTTCGGCACTTTTTGCCCCGTATCTTCGGAACGGCTAGACCTGACTACGCCAAAAACTAATCAGCACGTCTCCTTATCGATACGAATCGAATGTTTTTTGAATTATTCAAATCGGTTGATCGGTGTTTCCGAAATCGTCGACGAAAATTTGTATCCGCACATACATACACACACGCACACACACACACACACACACACACACACACACATACATCCATTTTTTCTAAGGTATGCCAAAATATTCAGAAACCTCTGAAACGTAAAGATATATAAAAATTTTCATTTTCGATTTTTTTGCGATTACTATAACTTGCCCTACGGGAAGTTAAAAAACATTCGATTCATATTGATAAAGAGATGTGCTGATCAGTTTTTGGCAAAGGCGAGTCTAGCAGTTTTGAAGATACGGGGCAAAAAGAGCCAGAGATGGCAATTCAGTTTTTGAGAGAACGGAGCGTCCGTTTTGAGTAAATTAAAAAATATTTGATTTGTATTGACAAAATGAAGTACTGTTTAAGTTTTTGCGAAAGCAGGTCTAGCGTTTTTGGAGATCCAATAAAAAAAAGTAAAAAAAAATATCATTCAGGGGTCAAAAATGATCATTAGACATATGCACATCAAATTGTCAGATATTATATAAATATTTTAATAATAACAAATTTTGTTTATATTCCTATGGGTTCCGTATCAATATTTATCCGTTAGACTGCGATGCGACGCTTACGCGCTTGGATATTTCTACTCTAAAACAGCCTAATTATAGTGTTAGAAGTAACTATTGGAAATTATTTGAAAAAATAAACGAAATTCAAAATGTTATTTTTGTATTCGTATGCTATTCAAAAAGACCTTTTTAACGATACCCCATATGTCATAAAAACACAATATAAAATTTTTGAAGTAAAACTTCATTAAACATGAATTTTAAATTACTCAATGTAAGATATACCCCTCCCTCTTTAAAGTTTCCAGTACAAGTTCAAACTTTACTATTTGATATTTAGCCGTCATTTTTATTTTAATGATCTGACAAATACAAGGCCTAGACCTATAATTTATGTTTTTTCATGCCCTAAGACAATATGTACTGATATGATTATTGGTCTCTACCCTGTAAAGGATACGAGACTCCAAAAAATGGGTATCTAACTAATATATAAATATATATATATATATATATATATATATAATATTCTGAAAAATTTCGGTATTAAGTAAATGAAAGGCAGTACTGTGCGGCGCGAGTTAAAATGAATACGAAGTTATAATATGCACGTTCTGTGGTGTTCCGTTGGGAGCTACTGATTATAGTTTAACTATTGCTTTGAAAAAAAGTTCAAAATTTAAAAAAAAAATTCAAAGTATAAAAAAAATCATATTTTTCAAAAAAGTCAATTTTTTTCAAAAATATTACTTGGAGCGGCGCTTTCGCGCTTCGATATTTCTGCTCTATAACAGACACGCAGCACGATTGCTTTGAAAAAAATTTCAAAATTTTCAAAAAAAAAAATCGAAAAATCAAATTTTTCAAAAAAGTCATTTTTTTTTTCAAAAATTTTACTTTTTGCGGCGCTTACGCGCTTTGATATTTCTTCTCTAAAACGGCCATGTAGTACGATTGCTTTGAAAAGAATTTCAAAATTTTCAAAAAAAAAAATCGAAATTCGAAAAATCAATTTTTTCAAAAAAATCAAGTTTTTTCAAAATATTCACTTACGTGCTTCGATATTTCTACTCTAAAACAGCAACGCATCACGATTGCTTTGAAAAAAGTTCAAATTTTTGAAAAAAAAGTATAAAAAAAATTCAAATTTTTCAAAAAAGTAATTTTTTTTCAAAAATTTCACTTTTCGCGGCACTTATGCGCTTCGATATTTCTTCTCTAAAACAGCCACGCAGTACGATTATTTTTAAAAAAAAGTTCAAAATTTTCAAAAAAAATCAAAGTATAAAAAAAACGAAATATAAAAAAAAATTCAAATTTTTCAAAAAAGTCCAATTTTTTCAAAGTTTACATTTTTCCAAAAAATGAAGTCAAAATTCTGAAAAATCTTATTTTTTTTAAAGGTTTTTTAAAGAGTTTTATTTTTCGGTACCGTAAGTTTCAGCAATTTGCCTTAAGGCACGATGCCGTGGACCACTAGTTCCAATTGTGATGCCAAACGATTCAGAATGACTTGAAAAAAGTTACATTTTTTCAAAATATTTCAAGATTTTTAAAAAAAAATTAAAGTATAAAAAAATTCAAATTTTCCAAAAAAGTCACATTTTTTCAAATATGTTATTTTTCCAAAAAATGAAGTCAAAAATAAAAAAATCAAAAATCTCATTTTTTCCAAAGTTTTTAAAAATTTTAATTTTCGGTACGGAAAGTTTCAGCAATTTGCCTGAAGGCACGATATCATGCACCACTAGTTCAAATTCCGATGCCAAACGATTCAGAACGACCTGAAACGTCGAAAAACGATAAAATTAGCAAATAGAATTTTCTGGCGAAAACATAAATTTCCCATCCAAAGAAGTATATCTACGCCTTTTGTTTCTAACAAACAACGTTTCTTATTGTTGACTTTTTTATAATTGTTATTATTTATTCTTTTACTACTTTATAAACAAAGCGAAATTCTTTCGACGTCGAAATTGTTTTGAAATATTTTATGAGTTTCGCTTTATTGCAATAATTTTAATTGGACGTTTAGTTTTATTTTGTCGTTTGGAAATTACAGTTAACAATATAGTTGTTATAAATAATTTATAAATTGTGCTTAAATATATATATATAATTTATTTATATATATTATTATATTTTTATAAAAATTTATATATTTATAAAAAAATATTTTTTTAAAAAAATGAAGTTGCAACAAGTTTTAGTGTGCTTAGTATTTTATTTTGGTAAGTTTTTTTATTTATTTATTAAAAACTGACTATTGTTCTGATAAATATTATAAGTATAACTTTTTTAATCAACATTATAAGGGGTGATTATTTTTTTAACCTAATAACAAATACAAATACAAATTATACAAATATATAATATATATATACAAATACAATTCTTTCTTTCCGTACAAATGCAACGGAAATGCGTTACGCCAGAACTGTACGTCATTCGCTCTCGATGAAATCATTTCAATACGGGTCGATTGTGATTAGTAGTCGTGTATGTGAATAGAAATCTGTCGTTTTTTACGGACAGGCATTAACGTTGTATGCGTACCGATATCAACAAAAAAACGGCATAGATAAATAAGCATTTTATAGTTACATCGTAGTACAAATCTTGATTTAATGAAAAATGCCTGAATCAGAAGAATATTATACCCCGTTTCTTGAAAATAATAAAACAAATTAAACATTTGTGCCGTGTACTAAACGTAAGTTTATTGATTAGAAATTATTTATATATTATTCGTAGTTTCTATAAATCTTTGAAGTTATTAAAATGGAAGATATTTTTTAGGCATGACAGATATTACAGCTGTAAAAAGAATGAAATTATATCGCTAGCGAAAAAGTAAAAATATACAAGCAGTCAATGAATGTAT